TGATGTAAAATGTACAGCCCAGACCAAATATCAAATTTTCAATAATAATGTTATCATTTTGATAAAGGTGTCACGGACGTGAGATGACCTTAGACTAGGACACACTATTACCTCGGTTCTGCTTGTTGTATTGATCTGAATTCTTAAGAATTCCTTTGCATTTTATTTATTTATTTTTTGTTAATATTTGAAAACGTTTCCAAGTGGTTTTTTTAAATAAAAAATAAATACATTACTTATTTACATTTATTTGCGCGCTCGAGAATTTACACCCCTCATCAGTATTTTATATTGTATTACATTTATAATTTATTATTATTCATATTATATTTTAAAATATTTGACAAACTTTCATCGACAAGCGCATGGCCAAGATGGAAGGAATGTATTTTATTATAATTGTGAACACCTGAAACCCAGAAGACATGGGTCATCAAATCATTAGATAAAGGTACAAATATAACATTTGTTTTAGTTAATTAAGGTTTTGGTTGAAATAAAAAAGTCAGTGTCACAAGCGGAATTCGAACCCACGACCTTCGGCTAAATACGCCGCTGTTCTACCACTTGAGCTATCGTGATCTCGATCCACTCGGACACTAACTTCCCATCTCAACCCCACCTTTTGAATTTTCCCTCCTTTTTTGCCATTTTTCAAATGTCGAGTAATCTATTTGATTCTCGGCGATGAAATGGCCACGGACTTTTTTTTATCTCAACCTAATAAATTTATTTTAATTTTCTTTGATATTTTTTTTAATTGTCAATTTATTTTCCCCGTGGGTCACTGGTGTATTTGGCATCAATTTCTTTCACTATGACCGAAAAATCTAGTGTAGTATTACTTATATATTTAATTATTTATTATTTATTACTTATTATACTAATTTTTTATGGGAGTGGCTGTACCGTTTCAGGGATGATGCTTACACTCACATAGGACATGTGTTCTATTGCATCGCAGCTTGGAAAATGTATGGTATTGGGCCAAGAGGTTTCGCTAGATACAAATTCTTCTGCCTTAAAATCGTAATTATTATCCAATGTCTATGGCATAGTCCATGTGCTGATGATGTACCCTAATCCCGAAACATCCATGTAATAGACAAAAAAATAAAATATTTCAACCACGGATAACTTGGAATTTTTCATCCTTGGGATAATAATTGTTACGAACCGTGGATTTTAAGAAAAAGATTATTAAAATCGTAGGTTTTTTAAATTTAAGCTCCTTAAAAAAAATTGTTAATGCTGTGTTTTGAAAAAAAGACGCTTTGAATATTTGCTTCTATGTTAATAGAGAATTCGGAAAAAAATATTAAGCATACTTTTAATAAAGTTAATCCGAGTTTTATAAATAAGCAAATTACGCAGTAATACGGTTCACACAATAAGCACAATGACGCTTCCGACAAGTGTTCAAAGTGAACAATCAATAATTTAATCAGATATGCAATGATGATTGATGAAGGCGAAAGGCGTCTCATCAAGGCAAGACGGCGAGATTGGATGTGAGTCGGAAATCATCAACCCACTGACAACAATGCTTGTTCGCCCCGAATACTATTTATATTTTACACCTCGCTTCTGAGATAACAAGGCGTTTTAAACAATAAAAAAGCCACATCCAGTCCATTCAATTAGTGCAGGGTGTGAATTGTTTTAAGAAATTTTGACACTCTCATGCAACGTTAAAAAATGCGCCCTGATTCATGTTTAATGTTTTTTTTAAATAGTTTTAAAATGTAAATTCTCGACGATCTGAAATCTTGAATTTACAGTTTTGCATCATTCGTGTAAAGTGGCGTACGTTCATAAGTTAGTTTATGTTTTGAAAACGGTTGTTATGATGATGTTACCAGGAATTTAAGCTAACGTTTCTGAATGCTCGGAATAATTAGTTCTTTGCCGGATGTTTGGAAAGGGGGTATTTATGAAGATTGGTTGCAACAATACTCTACGTTAACCGACCATTTGTTTATATGAAGTTGAATGAAATTTAGTTTGAAAGAAACTTCACTTTAAGAGATTCTTTTTTCTTTTGTTAGTTTTTACATTTTATTTATTTTCGTAATTTTTTTACGAATTTTATTAATTAATTTAGTAAATAAAGCATAGGAAATACTAGCTACAGGAATTTACCTAATTTTTGTTATGGTTTTATGCGTTTGTTCTGCATATATTTCAAGGTTGTTATACATCAGTCGATACATTTTTTCCGTATGATGAGATTATCACAAGCAGGCTTGTATTAAATGAGATTAAACAGTTGAAAAGTAGCAAAAACGAAAAGACGCTTCCAGCAAAATAGGCCGAGCAGATTGTTTTTAAAAAACGACATTCTTTTTAGTCACTCTTTAAAGACCTTAAACAGGATTTTTTAAAGTAAAAAAATATAAATTTTTAGAATTTATTTTTTTATCGGCGTTGTTCCACCTAAAAATCTCTAACTCCTCTGGATTAGGTTATACGAACCCCGGGTGTTTTTGAAAAAGCCCGTTTGTAAGTTTGTCGGGTTCGATTGCAGGGCGGCTGGATTCGAACCTAGAACCTTTGCCTTACAATCATTAGCGCCGAGTCAACGCCTTAAGCGTTGCGACCATCGACGACCCTTTTGTTCTTGTTATCTTTCATTAGAAAATTGTACACAAATATTTTTTCTTTTATCAAAAAAAAGTGCATCCATGACTTGCAGTTTTCGAAAGTTTTTTGTTTTATTTTTCTAACTTTGCACTTGCCAGAATTATCGAGGCACAATGGTCAACATTTTTGGTTGAGATGTCAGCAACATTTCCAGCTTCATCAATGAAACATGAAGCCATGTTCATTTGTTGTACAATTTTTACTTCTTTTAGTAAAACTTTTTTGGTGATACTAGATCGAAAGATATGTTAGTAAACAGTAAACAAAAACACAAAAACATTATATATATGTATATATATGTATATAAAACATTATATGTATATATATAGGCTAGATTTATAGGCTCTTTTTTGAAGGGTATTTCAACAGAATGAATTTGGATAAAATCTTTTTAAATGAAAACAACATAAGAAGACTAAAAAAATGCCCTTGCTAGTTCAGTACAACATTTTCTATTTTTCATTGATAAAAAATATTATTTGAAGGCTTAAAACGAATCCGAATTGTAGTTTTCAAAATTTATTTTATTTTTACTTACTTCTCTTGAATTATTAATTTTAGGTAAACCAAAAAAAGAGTTGAAAAGAGCGTTAAATTTCCATTAAGAACTGTCTTCTAGAACTTTCAATTTAATTTTTGGTAAAAAAGAAAACAAAACTAGATCTTTCCAAAACTGCTTGATTTAAAATTTGTAGAAAAACTAAATCTGCAACACGTTGGAAGAATTCACGGTAATTTGGCAAATTTCATAATCTCTTCGTTTAAAAAGCTTTATAGCTGTACATTCTTTTCTCTAAACATGGAATCAAAATGGTGACATTTTGTGCTAAGTGGGAAAAAAGTGGTCACTGTGTGAAAAAGGGAATGGGGTAATTCTAATAATTCAACGTTTTATCCTGGGCAAAATTAATTCCCATCTTTAACTTATTAAAAAAGCACAAAACGAAAGAAAATGAAGCAAAACAAATAAAAAGGCAATGAACGTAGTGAACAACCAAAAAATTAGACAAAATATCTACATTAGCAACATACTAAAGAAACCAAAAAAATGTTAATACAAAAGTTGTAAAATGCAACTTTAACCAAATAAAAAAGTACTAAATAAAAATTCATCGTAAAAATCAAATAAAACAGATAAAAATAGACAATGAACATAGTGTACAACGAAAACAGAAAAATTAGAAAAAATATCTTCACTAAACACAGGCTAAAGAAACCAAAATAATAATAATACAGAAGTTGTAAAATGCAACTTTAACCTAATAAAAAGGCACTGAAAAAAGAAAAAATCGTCAAAATCAAATAACACAGACAAAAACTAGCCAATAAACATAGTGAACAATCAAATAAAACATATAAAAATAGACAATGAACATAGTGGACAAGCAAAAATTAGAATGGTACATTACACTTATTGCCTGCTGCTTTGGATTTAATATTTTGATTAGCTGGCGTTTGGATTTTTCTATATATCTTTTTTTTCAGTACATATTAACTAAGAAAATGCAAGAAATAATGTCAAAACTGGCAATTTAAAGCTGAAAGTTTTTGCTGGAAGAGTCGAATACAAAAAGAATCTATAAAAGATTTTAGAGGCTTTGTTAAGAAATTACAGATAAAAGACTGACCATTTAAACCGGGATCATAATTGATTTTGTAATGTACTTAGCATAATTGAACTTATAAATTTATATCGTATTTAAATAATAAGGCAACCGAGAAAGATAAGAAAATTCTTATCTATTATATCATATTTATTTATTATGTTTACTTCTTAGCCTTTGTTACTTAGAATTACCCGTTCAGCAGATGTAAAACGAAGTTTTTTAATAAATTCAAATGAAATACTGAGATTTCAAACAAATAATTTGTGGTAGTTATTTTTAAATATATAGCATATAAACAGCTTAAGACAACATCCACCGTTGTGCCAGCATCAGCAATGTTATTTGTTAAAGTTTATGTTATTTAACATTGACATTTTTTATACTCAACTTAAAAAATGAAATATAGATTGAGTTTATGATAAATTAATTCTTTCGGCCTTCCAAATTATTAATGTCTTATTTTATTAATTGACAATTTTAAAATAGTAAGCAAGAAATAGCCAACTTTTGTTTTTGTCATATAAAACCTGGCGTTGTAAAAAAACTATATATTGTGTTTATAGAATTTTTTGACATTTGGAAGCTGGTCAAGTCAGGATCGATAAAAGTCCGAGTTTAACGTTTAAAAAACCTGGCTATTTTCCCTTCCGCCATCCCCTCGGAAATTCCGCGGCTCGCCCACTTTTTTTCCTATATAAAGCCGTAAATTTCGACCTTTTTCCTCTGTTAAGACAGGCTCAGTGTACTCACCTCCTAGCAATTTCCCAAGCGGTCGAGTCCGACTGTCTGAATGTGTCGAAAGCCGGGCGAAAATGTGCGTGGGCGTACACACAAATAACGCCGGCATGGCGCTATTTCCGTACCGTCCTCCCACTCTTCCATCCTCGAATTTTTACCCAAATTTTTCCCATTATTCCGTTTCCCAGAGAGTGAAAAACGAGGATATTCTAGCATGTGCCTGTCCAATGATGGATAAATGCTCCGAGTTGTCTATATTGACGTAAGAAAAAAAACCATAATCCATTCTTGCTAGCACTTTCCCACTGCTCTATAGTACGTGATATATATCGCAAACCAAATTTCATTCATACTGCCCCAGAGTACTAAATATTCCTGGAAGTGATTCAGGAATAATTTTCTCATTTCACGCTAATAAATACCATTCACAGACCAGACTTCTGTGCCATACTGCCTCATATTATTCGATATTCCTGGAAGGGATGTAGGAATATTTTTCTAATTTTACGCTAATAAGTACCATTCACAAACCAGACTTCATTCACACTGTCTCAGAGTGCTCGATATTCTTGGAAGTGATTCAGGAACAATTTTCTCATTTCACGCTAATAAATACCATTCGCAGACCAAATTTCATTCATACTGCCCCAGAGTACTAAATATTCCTGGAAGTGATTTAGGAATCATTTTTTTAATTTTACGCTAATAAATATCATTCAAAAAACCAGACTTCATTCACACTGTCCTAGAGTGCTGGACATTGCTAGAACTGATTTAGGAATAATTTTCTCATTTCACGTTAATAAATATTATTCACAGACCAGACTTCATTCATTCAGTCGATATTCCTCGAGGAGGTTGGAGAACAAGTCCCACCATTCAAGATAATTAATTATATTCACACACCAAACATCGTTCATAAAGCACCAGAATACTCAATATTTCTCGAGTTAGAATACAAGTTCCTTTATTCACAGTAATAGATAAATTAATCGTGAAAGCAATCTTCATCTCAATTCATACACGCTAATAAATTACATTCGCACAAACTTCGTTTCATACTACCTCAGAGTATTCGACATCTTTTTAGTTAGCAGTATTTCATTCATTCACTCAACAATCATCCATCCGTACTCAAGTAACCGATTTTCCTTGTGGATTGAGGAGTCTAGAGACTCAATTATCGATAATAAATGTATTCGTTCCAAGTAGCATATAAAGAACATAACCACACAAAGATTTATACACAGTTAATAATATTCGTTGCCCTGAGGTATAACCATTGATATGTGGCGGCTGTTGTGTCTCAAAGGTTTTCTTTCTTTGCACATTTAATTTCCTTCAACGTTGATGCCCAGAATTTGGAGCTTTTGTTAGTTTCATTATAGTTCATCATAGTTCCTCCTTTTTGAGAGAAAATACACATTCTGTACCTTAGATATTTATTATCTTGGCCGGGAAAGAACTAAGGGTCGTAAACAGAACACTTTTCACGTCTAATCCAAAGTGGTTAATTCTCAAGGAAATATCAATCCATTCTGAGGTTAAGCGCATTTGATTCCGGCCCGGTTAAGTGGGCTTGAGAGCCGGAGATAGCGAAACAAGGCGCACAACGTTCTAAGAGAATCTAAATCCAATCTCCTAAGACATTTAGAGCTTTTCCCTTCTCCCCCAAAGAAAATACGAGCTAACGCGGACGAAAGCCGTGTAATCCCTATTTTCCAAACCTTAACCGCCGCCTTTTGCACTTAGAACTAAGCACCAAATAAGTTTGACTCGTCTATCACAATTATTTTGTGAAAATCTACATCAAACCCGGTATTTTTACAAGATTATTTAAACAATAAATATTAGACAATTATATTATTCATTAGTTCGTTTTGTCTATTCAAAAAGATCCAACCTCTCAGTTGTTTGTTTCCAATTGGACGATATCACACTGAGAAATGAAAATAGGAGTGGAATGAGTAAAAGCTCAGAGTTCGTATAGAATGAGAAATAGTCTCAGTGTGCCAAATATGCAGCTACTTACACCACAACACCTGTGAGTTATGCAAAAATAACTCTTATACGTCAGACTTGAACATGAACTAGCCTCGTCAAGCAAATAAATCATTGACGCTTTTTTTACACGAATTCTTTCAATGCTTTATAATTAAAAACACGTACGTAATAATAAAAAATGAGTATTAACTTATACGGGGTTTTGACTATAAGATTTTCTACGCTAGGATTATGTATATATGTATATACATACATAATAATGTATATATATATATATTGTACTTTGGGCTATTCCCAACAATTTATACTGCTTTTCTCGATCGATTGGCATTTAGCAATGAATAGCTCTTAATGTTATATATATATATATATATATATATATATTGGTGTATTATCACTATAATATATATATATATATATATATATATATATACATACACACACACACACACACACACACACACACATAGGTGTTGGGCTACTCGTGTAAGAAATTTTGCCAGTAGATTCTACATTCAAAATGAAACCAAAAAGTCCTAAGTAACTATGGTCCGAAAGTCAACAATTGCTAATTTTTTCCCATTTTTCTGATTTTTTTGAGATTTCACGACCTTGCTTCAAATAAACAATGATAACGCCAAAACTAAAAAGTTTTGGAAAAATCCGTTGGCACCATTGAAAACTACGTTAAATTTCCAATAAGATGTGATTAATACTAACTTTGTAAAGCATTTTAGCCAGAACTTGAAAAATAATTCTTCCAAACCTAGAAATCAGCAAATTTCAGAAAACGTACTCCATTTAATGTAATTTTAGTGGTGTAATTGCTTTTTAATTTTTTTTTTCAAACATGAAGGAAATTGATAAAGGAAAGGAATAACCGTGGTTGACGGATTGGTAAGGTGGAAAATTAATAATAATAAAGGGGAATAATAATACAATAATCCTTTGATGAGCAGCATTGTATTTTAATGATGCTAAAGTTGCGATTATGATTTTCTGAGAAAAAAAATTGATTTTAGATTAAAATCACCAAAATGTGATGATTCTCAGGAAAGAATCAAGGTATAAACTTCGTTTTGGTCGCACTGAACTATGTTCTACTTAGCAAAACCAACCAGGGCTGTTAGCCTGTATATCAATCTAATTTAAAAGACCATAAAAAACTAATGCATGTTTCAAGCTGTCCTTAAAAAATATACGTATAATGGGAGTTTATGGTCCAACAAACTGCTTAGGTCATCACCGGCCCTCTGTGTGTTTTTCCTCCTTTTCAGAGTCTCCCACACATTTTTTTTTAAATTTTTTTAACTGTTATCATTTGATCGTCTTGATCTGATTTCTGACTCTGCCTTTATATGAAAACTAAGTCGATATGCTAAAATGCGAGCTTCTCATTTGTACCTAAGGTTGCCAACTATAGAATAGAGATATACAATATATACATCTCCACCGGATACAAATAGGGTTAAAAGCTGTCTCTATGGAAACATATTAAAAATTGACCAATTTTGAAATGCTTAATTTTTGATATATATTTCCATAGAGACAGTTTTAAAATAGAAGGTGACTTAAACAACTTCTTTTTGTTTTTAAAACTAAACCAATATTTATATTAATTTACCACTATGTGGAACAAAGTCTTTAATATAACAATAAGGGTGGCTGGTGCCTCCCTGTGTATCTACACGGCATATAAAGCACTGAAATATTTCAAGTATTCGACTGTTGATCGTCCCGAGTTCCATGAACGTCAAGAATTGGAAAGGAAACGGGACAAAAGAAGATATATTCCAGGTAAAGGATTAACCAGTGAATTCTTTTTATGCACCATATCTCCTGATGAAAGCGAAGATGAAGGAGGGCGCCCCTCGACTAGTGCTCAGCCTGAAAGACGGTGCCCGATAGGTTTTCCCGAGCATGATATCCTCGAAGGGATTTATACTCGCCCTAATAGAGCTAAAAATTTGCATCCAAAGAAAGAACCTCTTCCTGCTGTCACTGAAAAGAAAGAGAATGCACCCGAGAAAAATCCAAAGTAAGTGAGCTTTTTTTTAACTTTTTATATTATAATGTTTTTTCCAAACGATATGTTGTTGTAAGTACAACTTTTTTATTGTTAGGCCTGAAGATGAGCAGCAGCCAGGGGGATCTGGGTCAACATGAATCCATTTTCCAAAATGCACCGGGCAGTAAGTAAAGGCAGATCGGGCTTTAGTTTTTATGTGAATGTATACGTGAATGAATGAATACGTATTGAATGAGGAGGGACACTGTGCTTTCACGTATTAAACGACACGAATCTTCTAGACTACCCCTAAACCAAATTATGCCCAAATGAAAACAAAGCCCTTTCAAAATAGCTCGGGGACCACTGTCTATAATGAACTATATGTACTTCGTATTGATAATATTTGTGCCTCTACTCTACACAAGTCTAATAAGCATGATACGCATATTTAATGTGCATGACCAGAAGCGCAAAAGTCATCATGATTAAAACTACAGAGCGTTACATAGCAATGATTCATCTTGACATGTAAAGTAAGGCCAAATAATTCAATTTACTCATTCATTCTGTATACAAATGACATTCTTTATACAACGATGATACAATACATTTCTGGTACTATTTCTGGATTGGAAAATGACCTTGAACCCACAGATATAATAAGAAGATTAAAAGTAATATTAAATTCAAGGTAGAGATAAGGAGATGAACATTTTGGTGCAAATCAATGTTCCTAAATCTTCAAAATCTAGGCCCAACAATTCAAGACCCTCTGAAAAAATATGCTTGATTATATACATAATTGAACCAAAAATAAGCAAAAACTGTAGTGGCTCTAGTAACTGAAAAACTGCCAGAATACATACTATCTACCAACTACTGCAGTAAATGGTTGAATGATACAATGAATATGAAAACTATCCCAGCCTCTTTATGGATGTAGAAAATACTTTTCACAGAGACATGGTAAAAGTAATTTAATCATTTTTAATAAAAAGGTATAAAAGTGGTATAATCTTTTTTCAGAATGAAAAAAAAAAACGCCAAAACACTGAGCAGTCAAAACTCAATATAATGTGATCGACTATAAACCACTCCTTTTGTCACTGGTCAATGGGATAGATCTGTAAGCTCTCAAGCACCTCCTTCAATCCTGATTTATAATCTAATATCCCAATTTTCATTAAATACCTAAATAATTCTACTTCTAAATGTAACTGCAAAGCCAACAGGTACATAGTTTTTTAAACTTTTTTTAAATATAATTTTTGTTTTATTGTTACATTAAATGTTTTGGATGGTTCGGGAATTTGCACTTATCATCAACATCTTATTATTTTTTTTATATAAACTTTTTATTATATACAGAGTGTCAGTTTTACAACATAAAAAATTTAGATAAATAATAAAGGTAGGATGAGTATGTTGTTTAATATTTTTAAAAGATAGCTCTTTCTCAACTTAAGAGACAAAAAAAAGACATGCTTGTAACTCCTTCAATCTGATGATGAGCTTCAAGCTTGAAATCCAGAAGTTGAAAACAACACACTATCAGTAAGAACTATCTTTTTAAAAGTTTAAAAATTTATTGATCAAAAGTCATTAGAAAATTCGTTTTCAGCAGTTGTTAATAATAATGACTCAAAATTCTATTCAACCCAAGCAAATAGAAAAAACAATTAAATGAACTTAAATTTTTTGAATTAATTAAAATACCTTCCATCGCTTTCAATACACTTCTCCCAACGCGATGGCAACTTTTCTATATCCTCTGAATAGAATTTTGAGTCTTATTAACCCATTTTCTAACGAGTTTTAATAATATTAATAAATCTTTATTTGAAAGAATGCACAGTACATATAAATTTAAAACAAATAATAATATTTTAGGATATCCCTGCCTGCTGTCAAAAAGCAAAGCTTATACTAGACAACAGGAGTTTTTTGGAGATCCTCAGAGAAATAAACAGAATATATCTTTAAAAACCATAATAAAAAACAAACAAATAAACAAACAGAATAAATGTGTAGTATGAGAAAACCAACGAAATTAAATCTTGGCGTTAAAATGTCTGAACAATAATTTAAAATGTTTGAAATGATAAAATTTTTTCTTTCTTTGCAGTTTTTGAATTTTTGAATAATGATCCTCTCTTTATTAAAAAGACGAAGTGCCATATTTAATGAAAAATTGTAATATTGCATAGCTTTTACATTGTAAAAATGTGAGTTTGCCTATGAATTGTGTCTTGTGTTATATTCACTGATGTAACTAGTTTTTTGTGTTTAAAAGTAGAAAGTTTGAGTTTAGCTAAAAAAATTTATACCGTTATTATCATTACTTAAATTAATTAAATTATCACCTAAGAAAACAATACAAGTATCATCTGCATAACTAAATATTTTTTCCGGAGAATTTAATTTTCTAAAAATCATTAATACATAAAAGAAACAAAATTGGGCCTAAGACTGTACCTTACAGTACTTTGAATGTTTTGATCAATAAACTTTTTAAACTTTTTAAAAGATAGTTCTTACTGACAGTTTGTTGTTTTCAACTTCTGGATTTAAAGCTTAAAGCTCATAATCAGGTGTTACAAGCACGCCTCTTAAGGTTGAAATTCAGATGGTTGAAAACGACTAACTGTGAGTAAGAGCTATATTTTAAAAAGATAAACAACATACTCATCCCGCTGTCATCATTTCTATTTTAAAAAAATTCGTAAAACGTTGTCACCCTGTAGTGAGTTTATAGTGAAATCCAGATTTTCGATGTAGCATTTATTAGTAACCCCCCCCCCCCACAGGAAACAAACCATAGGCTATTTTATGGATTGTGCAAAATAAAAATATATTGCCCTTAAGAGTTCAATTTTCACAAAGTAGCGTAAAATTATAAATTTATAAAACAGTTTTCTCAGATAGGAAATTAAATAATCAATATGTAAATTAAATCTTAAATTTGAGTCCAATGTCAAACCAAGATATCAATCAAACATTGTAAGCAAAAGGGATAGGCAAACCACAGCCCTCATTATCACCACAAGTATGAAAAGGAAATTTTAAATTATTAGTATTTGTAATCTTTTTTAATGAAAAGGGTAATACATTAAATTTTTGTGTGTTTAAAAGTAGAAAGTTGAGTTTAATTTTCATATAATTATTTATGGTCTTAGTTAAATTAATTAAATTATTACCTAAGAAAACAATGCAAGTATCATCTGCATAACTAAATATTTTTCCAGAGAATTTAATTTTCCAAAAATCATTAATACATAAAAGAAACAAAATTTGGCCTAAGACTGTACCTTGCAGTACTTTGAACGATTTGATCAATACATTTTTTAAACTTTTTAAAAGAAAGTTCTTACTGACACTTTGTTGTTTTCAACTACCCAGATTTAAAGCTTAAAGCTTATCATTCGGTGTTACAAGCTCGCCTCTTAAGCTTGAAATTCAGATAGTAAGAGTATATTGTCAGTAAGAACTATATTTTAAAAAGATGAACAACTACTCATCCCGGCTTTATCATTTCTGTAAAAAAATTTATGTTGTAAAACGTTGTCACCCTGTATAATGAAAATTTTAAGTTTAAAAAAATAAGATACTGATGATGGATGTAAATTCGCAGTGTCCAAAAAGTTTAACGTAAAAGTAAAACAAACAAAAATTAAAAAAAAAGGTATTTTTTTAAATCCACAAATTTATGTAATTGATGGATACCATTTCAGTGTGAATGAAATTGTTCTTTATGACACAGCAAGCGCTCTTTGTCGCACCCGCACCTGACTTCGCCTCATCGACGAACCTCCCCGTTGCTTAGCATAATAGCACATCCACGGACCAGGGCGAGAGGTTACTCATTCAAAAATAGAAGATGCATTCGACATCCTCCTGTGATGGTAAATAGTCCAAATTTATTTATTTATTTATAATTCCAACAGAATAAGTATAAAAGTGGAGTAGTCGAGGAAAACAAGCAGCATTATTACAAAAAGAAAACATTTGAGTATAAAACAATAACAAAAACACATGGCTTAAGTGAACGTTTTGATTTGACCTTAACTGAATGCATTTATGTGCAATATGAATGCATGTATTTACATCTATTTCATTAGAATAATGATTCAGCAATCTCATTATCCAAGGCAAAGAAGAGTAAGAAGTTATGGTTTTTTAGTGGTCGCTGAGGCGCACAGAGATTAATGTAAATTTTTGATGTCATTCCACAATTGCCGACCCCTCAATGAAATCAGAAGAAGTACAGAGGTATTTAGGTAAATTGAAACCAAACCAGTTCAATCTTTACAAATAAAACAAGACCCAAGTCTTGGTTGCTTTCCTTCGTACTTTTTTATAATTTGCTAATCTCACCGACATGGAAAGAGATCCCACACGATACTGCATAAACCTGGGGGCGGTTTCATAAAACAAGTTACAAGTTTACAGTTCTACTAGTACAAGTACCTGTAATGCTCAGATTCTTAACAGGACACTGCAAACTAAATGGACATTTAAAGAAAATTCTTTTACCTCAGACCAACAGCCCCCTTGGATCCAAAAAATTGTGTTATCCGAACCCCCCCCCCTCTTTAGTTTTGTTAAAAAGGTTTTACTGTAATTCATTTGTAAATTTTTAATTAACCTGTTTTTAAGATTGTACCAAGGACAGCTCTGATTTGACTGACAGCAGTGCGTATGAAGAGCATGGAATCGAATTTGAAGTCGTTTCGATGTCGGAAGGAGAAAGGTTCTACCGTTTTGATGACAAATTCAGTTCATCGAGCCCCGAGGTAAGATAGAAAACGGCCAGTTTTTTTAATACCCCATGGGTATATCAATTAAGCAAACAAAGCAGTTCAACCCTCCAAAAACGTTCTTGAATAAATTATACAAAGGGAAGGCCCCTGGTTTTGAACTATTCATGTAATGAACTAAAGGTTGAGGGGTTGGGAAGGTCAGGCTTAGCACAGACTCAGACCATCTTTGTAATTCTTCTGTCGGCTATTGTACATCTCCTCACCTTCAGTGGGTATTTCAGAAGAAAGGGGGCAATAAAGTCAATGGAAGAATGTATGGTGTAGCAATAAACAACGACAAATAGGTTTTATTTGCACATCTATTGCTTCGTGTAAAAGGAGCTACATTATTTGAAGATGTGCTCTCTTACAATGGTATTGTATATTAGTGGAAGCTTTAAAGAAGCACCTCTTGCCCGAGGATTACTTGAAGATGATACCAACTAGTTTACCTGTTGTGATAACCAACCTCAGGATTATGAAGTGGGGACTGGGATAGAAGCAGAACTACAGGGACATAGGATTAACTTCTGTATTAAAAGTTAATAACTACAAGAGTGGAAGGCTTACGGGAAACAGACTCGTATTTGTTACAATTTTCCCTATTATATACTGTGGTAGGAGGTCTAAGAGTAGATTTAACATGTTAAGAGTGAAGGGTGTTAGTGAAGTCCTTATCTTGAGAAGATTGAACAAGGGACAAGTCTTTTAAATGAAAATATTTGTAGGTGATTGGAATTATGAATATTACACTGTCTTGAAGAAATGCAAATGGCTTTTAGCTCAAAACAAAAAGTTGTGCTAAAACAACTACGGGAATTGTTTGCATTTGTGTCTTTGTGAACCATCATTTTCCTACCAGTGGATCACTTACAAGTCTTCTTTGGTCGAAGATGTAATGGAGCCAGATGAATTCACTTTACAGCATACAGATCAAATTCTTAGGGTCAATGGTTTTGTCTGATTTTTCATTAACCTTAATTCCTTTGTGTCCTAGTCAGGTTGTCGTTTTCTCAAGTTTTGGAGATTTTGAATGCATTCACTGTTTATTTTGTACCTTTTTACTAGTTAATTATTTTAAGGCTGCTTAGTTGTCTGAAGTTATTACAATTTTGTATTAGTGTATTTGAGACTGAGACTTAATAATTTTGCCCCAGGAACCACTCCTATTATTATGAATTAAAAGTTGACTTGTTTATTTACTGTTTAAGGATGTTCGAAATGTGATGACAAGATTAAACCCGAAAATTATTGAAGTTGAAGATTCTGAGAGTAAACAATCTGGAGGTGATTGTGTTACCGAACCGACGAAGGTATGCTGTCCTGCTCCTTATAAATTTTGTATACGCTGCAGAGATATTAACCATCACCCTTATTTTCCATACTGTATCAGGTGTCAAAGGGTATGTATTCAAATACAGATTAAAATAATTGGAATGACTCATTCGTAATTTTTTTCTTGAATATTTCAGCTGAGGAGGGATTTTCTACCGAAAAGGCCAGGGAGGAAGAAGAAACGCGGGAAACTCTTAACTGTACTGTCGCCGGATTCAGTATTGAAGGACGAAGTGATCGTGCAGTCGTTCGACTCACCTAAAAGTGATTCGCTGTGCAATGTCTGCGGGTTGAGGCCCAAAAACGGAGGCTTCATCCACGGTTTAATTGTTCATTTATACGCGTGCTACAAATGTGCGCTCAAAATCTATAAGGACAATAAGTTTTGCCCTAGTTGCAACTTGAAAATAAAGGCTGTTATGAACGTATTATGATGTGAACATATTATTTATATATTTTGAAGAGAATAAAGTATTTTTTATGTAAAAAAATCCCAAAGAAAAAGATGTCCATTTAAATTGGTCATCTGAAATTGTCTCTTTAATTTCTTAGCAAATATTCCAAACCAATAAAAAATATATTAATTAAAATCAGAAAAATCAATTGCATCATATTCTATTTCTAAGTCTTTGATAAACAGAAAAATTTATTTCTCAATTTTTATTATAAGCATTAAGCATATTGTCGCAGTGCACCAAGGCCTAGCTGGGTTCTACACCCTCATCGACATCTTTCTAAATATCTACTTCAACCAAGGCAAGATCATGTTCCCAGCTCTTCAGCAAAACCCAGGGTTCCACCGTTGTGTTTCAAAGACTTAACTAGTATCAATTGAGTTGGAATCAGATTCTAAGTGAGATTTAGAGTCAGAAAATTACATGTTCGTGGTGATCAATCTGCTAACATTTTTTATTTTTAAAAATGTTACAGCCCTGTCATTATTAATACAATTTAACCAAGCAAAAAGAGTGAGGAGGTCGAATGGATAATGGCTGACTGCATCACCAAATTTTTGGTAAGCCATTGGCCCCATTCGTTCTTCAGGATCTTGAAGAACTGCTCTATTGCGCGGTTGTTTCTCATTTTTCACCCTTGACAGTGGTGACTCAATAATGATCACAACCCGTTACTTCCAAAGAACGTTGATCAAGGATGATAAATTGATTTTTAAAAAAATCAAGAATGATATAAGCTTGTTATTACTGATACAATTTAACCAAGAAAAAATGAGGTTCATTATAAACCTACTCATGTTGCAAACTGTCAGAAGCTATAAGTCTATCAGCACTGATATGAACAATTTTGTTTTATACAAAAAGGGTGATAAAATTGTCGAAAATTTTCGATATTTTAGGCCTGTCAGCAATGAATGGTTATACAATTTATACAAAAGGAAAGAACGAGTTGATAACACTGCTGACACATATTTCCAACTTTCGGAGGCTGATGACAAACCTGTCAGTGCAGATACAAACAATTTTAGTTAATTAAGAACATGAAGGATTCCCAAATTAAAATAGTCTGATGACAAGCCTGTCATTACTGATCAATGATATAAACAAATATATTTTATCCTTAGACCAGAACAACAAGAGATGCTTTCAAAGGAAGTCTATTTAAAATGACTTTCATTTAACATTGAAAAGTACCAATAATTAGGCCTATCATTACTAACACAAATTTATACTATTTGTATAAGAGAAAAGAATGAGTGGATAAAATTGCTGACATATATTTCCACCATGCTTCAAACTACGTACGCTGATGACAAACCTGTCAGTAAGATACAGAAAATTTTAGATAATAAAGAACATGATCAGGGATGACCAAACTGGCAAAAAAACTTCAATAATGTTACAAGCCTGTCATTACTGACACAAGTTGATAACACATATTTCCATGATGTGAAAAAATGTGAGAGCATTCATTATTCAGTAGAATAGAGAAGAACATGATCATTGAACAAATGACATTTTTTCCAATAATGTTGCTTATATAATCTTCTAGATGCCTCTCTTTTTATGTGTAACTAACTTTCTTACCTGTGATCTTTTTCATATTTGTTTTATTTTTGTTATATATAAATATTATAAATTCCCATTTGTTTTTTCTTGGTTCTTGTCCATAAAATAAATGAATTGTTTCATTTTTGGAGAAAAGAACCCTGACCGTCACTTCCAATGATCCAATGATTTTATGATGTCAGTTATGATTCAAACGCTAGCGCTACGAATAGAAATACGAGGTTACATCAAAAATAAAAGACGATATTCGTTTAGGCTCAAGGGCTGGCTGATACCAAACAAAAAATAGCCTTTTGTTGACACAGACTACCAAATTGAACACTGACAGAGGGAAGATGTCGAGGCTCAAATTCTACTACGACCTCCTTTCGCAGCCTTCCAGGAGTCTTTTGATTTTCCTCCAGACAAATAAAATCCCTTTCGAACCCGTGCCGATACGATTGGGAAAAGGTAAAATCTATAACTTTTTTCTATAATGAAGTCAAACTTGATCTTATCTTTTTGTAATTTTTTTTTTTTTTTTTAAAGAAAATCACGTTCTTTATGCTAGTTTTGATGACAGACATTTTTCGCTATTTCTGCAACTGATTTTCTTTTTTTATCTCAACTGTTTACGAATGAAATAATTATTAAATTTCTATTTTAGTGCTCTCGCCAAGTTTTTATGATTGAAATTTTAATTTACACCTGCAAAAAATGACTGTCATTTAATGCTTTGGTAATTATCGCTACTTTTCAATGTCAAATGCAAGACTTTCTGGAATCGACTGCCTTTGACAGCATTTTTTGTCATTCAGATCTAAGGATAAAATATGTCTGTTTGTACTTGTATTGCATTATTAAATTTTCTGGCAGTTTGATCTTATCTGATTGTTCAAATTTTATTTATTTTTTTGTTAATCTTAATTTAATGTGGTGATAAAAATATTCTAAATCTAGAAAGGCTGATCAAAAGCATATCAGTACTGATCTGATACAAACCTGGTTTATAAAGAACAACATGATTAATGATTAAACTGCCAACTTTTTTTTTCTAAATAATATACCTGGCCTGTCAGTATTGATACAGACACAGTTTAAAGCATAACAATGGATAAAATATTATCATTCTGCTGGCACATATTTACATCAAGTTTCAAACTGTCAAAGGCTGGTGAAATGCCTGCCAGTACTGATACTAACCAATTGGTTTATTAAGAGCAAGCAAGCAAGGACTGCTAACATTTTTGTAAAAATAATATACCTGGTCTGTCATTACTAATATAGACACAATTTAAAGCATATCAGTGTATATAATAACATTTTTCCAATATGTTTGGTACATATTTCCATCATGTTTCAAACTGTCAAAAGCTGATAAAAAGCATGTTAATACTGATTCAAACTGTTTGATTTATAAAAAACGTGATCAAGGATGACAACTTTTGATCAAATGCCAGTGTCAAACCAGTCATTACTGATACAATTTAACCAAGAGAAATAAATGATTTGATAATGCTGCACGCACATATTTCCTTCATGCTTCAAACTTTCAGAGGCTGATGACAAGCCTATCAATGCTGATACAAACAATTTTAGTTAATAAAGTACATGATCAGATAAATCTAGAAAGTTGGTTATTTTTTTAACTAAACACTCCATTTTTCTCTTGTGATTTTCCCAATAATTTTTAACTTTATTCAGTGACCATTTTAATATTATAGATATGTACGTCGGGTTGAGGAATAGGGCAGAAAAGATTTGAAAAAGTCTAAGCAGGACATGGCCCAAAAAAAGTTTGGAAATATTGCATTAGCAATAAAAATATTTTTAAAAAAACCAACTTTCTAGATTTATGTTATCATGTTCTTTATTAACTAAAATTGTTTGTACCAATGCCGATAGGCTTGTCATCAGCCTTTGAAAGTTTGAAGCATGATGGAAATATGTGTCAGCAGTGTCATCAACCCATTTTTTTTATCTTGGTTAAATTGTATCAGTAACGACTGGCTTGCCATCAGCATTTAACAGTTTGGAACCTGATGGAAATATGTATCTGCAGTGTTATAAGACTCCTCATTCTTTTCTTTTGGTTAAATTGTATCTGTCTGTGTCAGTAATGTCCGGCCTGTTAACTGTTACATTATTTTTTTAAAAAGTTGGCGATTTGACTATACTTGATCATGTTGTTTTTTATTAACTCAGATTGTTTGTATCATAACGATAGGCTTTTCATCAGCCTTTGACTATTTGAAACACGATGGAATTATGTGCGAATAGAATGATAATACTTTATCCACTGTTAACTTTAAACCGTGTCTGTATCAGTAATGACAGGCCAGATATATTATTGAGAAAAAAAAGTTGGCAGTTTAATCATTAATCATGTTGTTCTTTATAAACCAGACTTGTATCAGTACAGACAGATTATCATCTTACTAGTTCTTTTCGTTGGTTAAATTGTTTGTTAACCATTGTTTAAAAAAAAGAGTATCTTAAAAAATTCTTTTTTATGATAGATTCGGATAAAGAAATAGTGATCTGCTTCAACCTATGTATTACTGCTGGAGCATTTCAGGGACAATCTGGCTTCCTTCTTCAGGGCTCGTTGGAGTAATAAACCCCTTTCTCCTAATGTTTGTTATTACATCAATGAGCCCTCGGTTGATTTTTGTCAGTAATGACATGCCAGTAACAGGTTTGAAAAAACCTGCATTAATTAAAATTGTATTTGTTTGTATCAGTTCTGACAGGTTTGTCATCAATTTTTAACTGCTTAAAGCTCAAACAAGACAGTCTGTCTTGTAAACATCGACCATTAGATTTATATCTTTTTGTCTCCCTCTTGTCAAAATTATATCTGTTTATATCAAGACTGACAGTCTTATCATTATCTTCTGCGTTTTAAACCCTATGGAAATATTTATTTGCACTTAAGAAGAGTTTTTTTTCTCTTGGTTAAATTCAACCTGTATGCAAAAATATTCTTGACATCACTTTGACCATTTGAAACTTGAAATTATTTATACCAATATTGTATTGTCATTAAAAAAATTAAATTGATTAAAGTATTTAAAAAAAGATAGAGAAAGAATAGGCTATTATAATCAGGAATTATTCAGAAATCGTGAGATGCGGTCTGGTGTGATGGAGGTTTTAGAAAATGTTTTTCTGAAACCTACATCACACCAGTCCGCATCTCACGATTTCTGAATAATTATCAATTAACGGTCACTAATCACCACACATAATCAGGATTGATCAAACAGCTCACAGTAAGATGCTGACCGACAAACCGACATAAATATACTATTGCAAGATTTTTTTATTTGAATCTTGAAAATTAATTTGACAGGGGAACACAAAACCGAAGAGTTCAAGAAAATCACGCCATTACAGCTCGTACCAGTTATAGACGATGATGGCTTTGTTGTAAAGGAGAGGTATGTTATTGTAAAAAGCTGATTAGTTTCTCTTATAAAACTCACATTCACATATTTTCTCCACCAAGGAAAACATTGAAAGATGTGTAAGTTAAACATACTCGTGTGTACTCCCTGATAATGCAAAAATGGTTATACAAAATGTCCAGACTAAAAATATTTTTTAAATTTTAATATGTTTAATAATATTGAATTTTTAAATCTTGCAGTGTTGGAATTCTTCGCTATTTGTCCAAGCGGTATAACGTCGATGACCACTGGTACCCTAATGACGTAAAAGAGCAGGCAAAGGTTGACGAATATCTCGAATGGCAGCATTTAGGCACACGATTCGCCTGTGGGATGTATTTTAGGATCATGGTAATTAAAAATTTCTTAAATAATTTTTTAGTTTTTATAATAAATTGATTCTTTGAAATAGTGGTTAACGCCGATGGCGACTAAAGTCGCTCCAAATTCCAAGCTTGCCGAAAAACATAAAGAGCTTATGGTAAACACTTGCAATACTGTACAAGATGTATGGTTGGGGGATAAAAAGTACATCTGTGGTGATAAAATTTCAATTGCTGACCTGCTTGCCGTTTCAGAACTGGAACAGCCAAGTAAATATAGTTTCACATTTCTTGTTTTCTTTTTAATTATTAAATTTTTGTTTTGAAGGGCTTGCGGGCTATGATCCAAGGGAAGGAAGGCCCAAATTGGCTGAGTACATGGAGCGGGTTCGCCAGGATACAAACCCATCCTACGACGTTGCGCACAAAGTGCTCAATACAATTGTCGAAAAGTTCAAGGGCGAGTGCCCGGCTTTGGTAAAGTCTGCTCAAAATTAGGCTTTTATAACTTGATCACTACTGAGTAAAATTGAATCGTTGAAAATGTAAATATATTTCTGCATAACAATTTTTGTTATTACTTAATAGATGATTGTATTAAAATAAAATAGTTTAGAAGAAGGTATTTGTAGCTAGTTTCATTTAGTAAAAAAGTGTGTTATTTAGCGATCAGTTGTTCAAAAAATTAATAATAAAGAAATTTATTTTGTTACATTATCTGTTTATTTTCGCAAATATGTTTCAGGATGTAAAAATCCTTTCACCTCACCTTTCAGTTACCTTTAAACTATTTAATACCCATCTTTTTTTCTTTTTTCTTTCTTTACAATGGACACCAGAGACTGGAGGAGTTCCCTCCTGAGCACTGCAGCTTATTGTACTTTATCCCTGCCTCCATATTTTTTTTTTGGGGGGGGGGCTTGCAACACAAATGTGAACTTCAGCCCCCGTTGTGCCGGTGTTCTTCCATCAAAGAAACTCATTTTTGAAGGGGGTTGGGACCAAATTCAGGGTCGCTGAGATCCAATCCCGCCCCTTCCATTGATGAGTGCTGTGTCAATTTCTTTCAATTCCGGTCCCCTTAGGCATCAGAAAATGTCCAGAGGCGAAGGTGGGGATCGAACCCATGACCGCGGGAGCTACTAGCCGAGAGTCTGACGCCTTAACCACTCGGCTACCACGGCCCCCTAATACCCATCTTAGATTCACATAAAATCATCCTTCTCACCTATTCATCTTCTATCCACATCATTCCATGATCCATCAAGGTTTCAGAATCATCAACACCATTTCCTTGTTCTAGAGAACAATGTATTTCTTGGGTCCTACCCGCAATTTATTAATGTATCCTGTTCAACCTACAGGTCAGAGTGAGATGCAGCTCAGATATCATACTGATACTAGCCGGCATCCCACAAGGGAACATTGTTGGTCCTATTCTAAAAACCATTTTCAATGCTGACAGAGACAAACCAACTGTGGCATAGTAAAATGCAAAAGCATGTACAATGACAATATTACTGACAAAATTGGTAATATATTTGTGTATAATAAAATTGTATCCATTCTATAACAGTACTGACAAACTTGCCATCAATCTTTGAGTACATGATCAAGCATTCAAACCTCATTAGAAAAAAAAGGTACAAACTAATCGAAATTTTAAGAACCACTGAAATTAACTGTGAGGAGCTTTACCTAATATCTGAACTGTATTGGGGTCAGTAACCTGAAGTTTCAGTTGAGAAAGTCACCTCAGAGTCATGATAGTTGAGAAGGGAGTAAGACAAGGGTGCTTTCTATCACCGTTTTAACCTGTACTCAGAAGCTATAAGAAGCTTTCAAAAATTTGCATTGAAAGGGCGTCTGGATCAACAGGGAATACCTGAATAATATGAGGTATGCGGACGACACAGTTATGCTAACTGACAACATAAATAGCCTATGAATGATGAATTTGTTCAGCTTAGTGAAACCTACTGCCAGAACTAAGGTAACCGCGTTCTCAAAACATAAAATAGTGATAAATCTATTGGTGAAAGGAGAGCAATGGGAATCTGTTACCTAAGTGCCCTAGTAAATGGCAGTGTAACCCTAAAAAACTACTTTATTCAAAATTTTGGTAAAAAATAGTTCTTACTCACATTTTGTTGTTTTAAATCATGCGGATTTCAAGCTTAATAAGCATCATCTTAAGCTTTAAGCATCAGATTGAAGGAGATACAAGCACGTTTCTGAAAGTCTCGACATTTATTGTAAGAATGAACCGGGAAACCGCCGATCACGAGACAACGCGACGATCTAATGAGAAGCTGGCTTTTGTTGGCGCTCAATTTTGAACGTGCGAAAGGCGGGAAAAAAAGCGGTAATTTTATATTATCACAATTAAATATTACCATAATAAATACTGTAAGAAAATAATTTTAAATCAGTGATTAATTTGTATATCCTTTTATTAATCAATTAATAAAAATTAAAACAAAAAAACGCAAAATTGAGCGGCAATAAAAACCAGCTTCTCATTGAAACGTCGCGTTGGCGGTGGATCGGCGGGTTCACTAAAATTCATATCGAAACGTGCTTGTAACTCCTTCAACCTGGTGATGAGCTTTAAGCTTGAAATCCGGCTGCTGAAAACAAGAAACTGTGAGTAAGATCCAACTTTTTTAAAAAGATTAAACAACATACTCGTCCAAAATTTATCATTTCCACTCTTTATTCATTCTAAACATGGTTTAGATTATTTAAGCATCTTGTGATATGGTCTGGTATAGGTTAGAAAAATATTTTCTTTATCGTTTAGAGTTGAGAATAAAAATGATAAGTCACTACGTACTCTCCAGTCCTGTTATACAAATGCAAAAGCTGGATGCTTAATCAAGTACTGAGAAGAAGCTCTTTGAGATATATTTAATGTATAATCTGCATACCTTGGATCCAGAGGGTTAGAAAAAAGAAAAGTTCTGCACAATGGATAATGCCCAGGGAACTTTCATGATCAAAGATAAAAAAAAAAAAACAACGTATATTTCTAAGGTTAATGGTGAGAAAGTACTGAGGAAGCGTTCAATTGGAGGAAAAGATGATGATGATGAATACTATGAAGCAGAGTTTGTGCTCCCCAGGCACTTTTGGGTTAGTGTACCTTCCTAGTTCCCTATTTCGACTCAATTGACTCTCTCTCTCTCTCTTTCCCATCGTTCTAAGTTTTCTGGAGAAATAGTAATATATTTTATTTTTCATTCTTTGAAATCTATTATTAATTCTCCTGAAAACATTGAATGAGAGAAAAGAGAGAACTTGATCAAGAACATATTTTTTATATTAATTTTTACAAATGTTTAACATTTCCATAATTTATTTAAATTATAACGCATGTGTCGTGGATCTGTTTCCTAAAAGTTAGGCAATCCTTATGATTTTTCCTTCTCGAAGGTGGGATAATAGGTCATCTCAAAAAAACAACAACCAGTTTTTCTTTCAATCCACAACGTTTTGCATTTATTTTAATCCTTCTTCAGGTGAGTTAACGCAATGGTTAAAACAGTGGTCGTCAGTATCATAAGTTAAAGTAATATCATAAGATAAACTGTTGAGGTTGAAATATAAGAAAACATCGTTAGGCAATCCTTTCACACAATTAAATCATGCAAAATTGCCTAACGAAAATATTGAAGGCGTATAGGAAATATTTGTCTGACGTTATTGTCTTACCTCCAATACAATTAAATAAAAGTTATTATTTTTAAGTAGGTTGAAAAAGGTGAAAATCATATTTAAAGAATATACTAATATTATAGTCTTGTGTGGTGTTTAATGACCGTTAGTTAATGATTATTTGGAGATCGTGAGATGGGGTCTGGTGTGAAGTAGGTTTTAGAAAAACATTTTCTTTATCGTGCCAACGTTTCAATCTTTATTGAGATCATCTTCAGAGCTCAACGTGTTTGTTTTCTGTGTAGATGTGTCATGTTGAGAGTGCCCCACGACACCCAATAATGTCACATCTACTCAGAAAACAAACACTTTGAGCCCTGAAGATGATCTCAATAAAGATTGAAATGTTGGCACAATAAAGAAAATGTTTTTCTAAAACCAACATCACACCAGACCACATCCCACGATCTCCAAATAATTATAGACTCTTTAGAACAAATACAACTTACGAAAAATGTTTTGTGACTTTTTTTAGAAAACTATATAACATTGGTGAAAACAAGCGGATAAAAGATGGAACAAATTATTTGTACTAAGTTTAAAATAAAGATGATAAATAAATTTTACGATACATAAGTTTACACACAGAGAAAAAATCTAATACATAAAACAGGGATCTTGTACAAATTATAGTATCTAGTAAAATAAAGTATCAATTAGTTCTCTGAATGAAATCTACGTTTACACAGGCTTTTGAATTATTTTTACACATGGCCTTAACGGTAGAATAGCCAAAATAATAGTGAAGCTACTTCCTTGTTCAAAATGATCACTATGTTGTCCCAGTGTTTTGTGAACCTTCATTCTCCCAGGAAATTCCAAATTGTAATAGGTTGGTTTTATCTTGATTTATAGTTTTTCCCTGCCTAAACAATTGCGTAGAATCCACTCTGAAGTTATTCTTCTCCTTCTAGATGATGTAAACCTAAAATAATGAATTATAATTGAGATTTTGTTAAAAATTTTAGATAAAACACCTATTTTCTGGTAACAATCATGTCATTATTATCGGCTCGTTTAAATCAAAATGAGTCCCATTATCATTATCCTCAGAAGTAGTAGGTAAATGACTGTTGCTGCTACACTTTCATTCCCTAGGGTTTTTCTTTATGCTAGGTTATGCCTCTATTGAGCCATTGCTTCACATTCGAAGATGATATGAGCGGCTGCTTCTTCTTCTTCATTGCATAAACTACAAATGAGTTCATCATTGAATATGGTGTATTTGTTTTCTCAGATGCCAGTGACCGGTACATAGCCCTATCACTCCTTTGAGTCTGGCCCTCTTCAACTGCAGCAGTGAGTTTGCCAGTCTTGGTGAGGGTTGTTTTAGCATGAGTTTACTGTGTCTAATGCTGCTAGAGTTTATCCACTTCTCCTTTTGTTTCATTTGGATCCATTCTGTGATATTAGATTCTGTATTTGTTTTTGTTATCCCAAGTATAGCTATGTATGGTCCTCCTCTGGCCATTTTGTCTGGTTTTTTGTTACTCATTACCCAAAATTCCTTTACGTCCTGGCACCCAAGTTATCATCAGGTGTTTACCCAGGTTTTGGAGACATTCACTGGCTAATTTTGATGTGATTTTTTACATGCTAATGCTTTAATAGCTGCTTAGTTATCTTATGAGGATTTGTTTGCCAGTGTAACCTCTTTTAAGATTTTCTAGGGCAAAAGCATTGATGGCTTGGAAGACCGAGGTGTTCTTCCCTAATGAATTTGATTGCTCATATTTTGGGCTTGTACAGAAAATACCTGATCTGGTTCCTTTGTTTGTTTTGGAGACAGCTGTATACCATTTCATTGTATCTAATGCTCTCCTGAGTTCTCCTCTCCTTTATAGTCTGTTGTAAGTTTATAGGACGTTGTAAAGAATGTTTTTAGAATCATATAGTCAGTCCATTTTTTAAGAATGGGTGTCTGGTTTTATTAATTATGGTTGTGTGCAATCGATATAGGAATTGTAAACTGCAAATTAAGAAGATAAAAGATGGCTTAATGTCCGAGCGCCTCAGACAGTACTTCTTTTACATGATGATGAGTGGTAAATATGAGTCAAACACCTTCACCTTTGTCCACCAGTCTCCTTGTTTGGAAATTTCCTTTGACAGTAAAACAAATAAACAAAAAATAAGAAATAACAGTACTGGGGGTGTCCGCAGCTACAATGGTTTAGGCATTGACTTGGCAATCATCACGGTAAAGATGCGGGTTTGAATACAGCAGCCCAGCATTCTAACCCAACACTTATGTTCTTCTGTTGTGAACCTTATTAAAAAATAAATAAATAAAAACTTATAAGAATACAAATTTTTCAAACAGGAAGTTCTTTTCAGTAGGCGGTCAAAAATAAAATACAACTAATTATATAATTATTTTAATATTTTTTATTGTATCAACAAATATGCAACTCATCAGCGAGAAATAGACGTGTGAGTTAACATTATCATTCTGTTTTTTATTTATATTTATATATATAATAAATCGTAGTAAAATGAAAAGATTAGGTAAAGGTGGAAAATGGCACTAGTATATAATTATGTACACAACATTTTTTCTTCTTTTTGAGGGTATGAATGTATACATATATATGCAATTTTTACATGATTATACATATACACTTGCAACAACTTTGTGTATAAAGGTTGTAGTATAAATGTTAGTTTGAATAATTCCATATTTTGTCGCTTTAAAATTAACAATTTGTTTTGACATTGAAATTGAAAAAGCTAGTTTATCCCAAATAAATATTTATGGATGAATGGAGAGATCCCTTGAAGGAGATTTTAGTTAATACAATTTGTGTTACAATTTATGTGTTTTAAAAGGCAATGTGTGGATTATTTTGTTTAATTTATGCCTTTTCAAATTTTTATCCAAAAGAAACATTTTAAATACAGTTTATTTTGTTTATTATACAACAATCATCATTTGGGAATATTATGTTGTTTTTAAAATTTTTTTTGCTTGTTTTCTTTTTAGTCACAATGGAAATATGTACAATAAATAAATTAAAAAAATCAACTATATTTACAATGATTTTTTTTTGAGTCAGACTATTGCAATGATGTTTTAAATAAATCAATAAAGTGGCTAAATTAAACTTTTTTTGACTGATTTTATTTACATGCAGTTTTGACGATTTTTAAGCGACTGATTGGCATAATTGACCATGAGGTTTCCGCATGTTTCTTGGTGATTTTTTAAAAATTCAAACAATTTTTTTCAAGTTTAAATAATTGAAAAAAAATCAGCTATCTTTCCACTTTTTTTCCAACAAAATTTTAACTTTAATTAATTGGAATTTTGTTTTAATTCATTGTTAATGTTCACAAATCGAGGTCTACATTCTCATTAGAAATTGTTTTCAAATGATCGGAATTTTCTCTCAACACACACAGTACTCAATAATACATATTTTGTTTCATATATTACAAAACAAAAAGAAAAAAATTTCTTTCCTACGGAAAATTGTAATAAAATAGCTGATTTTTATAAACAAAAGTTTAAAATTCACATCTTTTTGTATCATAAAAATACAGTAGCTTTCTAAAATATTCATAATTTAAGAATAAGTAAAAAATTCTAATTAACAAAAAGCAAAAACTTCATTTTTGTGATAAAAGTATAACTAATTTCATCTCTTTTTTTAATTATGAATAATTACGATAGCTAGTGTACCTTACAATTAATATGTGTAAGTAAAGTGTTGCCATTTTTTTTCTTCATAAAATTCACAATTCAAGGCATAAGAGTCGATGATAGAAAAAATTTGCATTGAGATAATATTCGTTTCATAATTTCCTTTATAATGTAGTTACCTTTTTTTTAAATAAATTACTATAGTTAAGTTTTTATCATCAGAGTTTTTTTTTTTCAAATTCATTACAATCTAATCTAGCCTAGGGAAAAACTTTTTTTTAAATATTTCTTATCACTTTGAAATAAATGAAAGTTTCAACAAGGTTTTTTTAAACATGTGTATATATGTGTGTGTGTATATTTACACACACAAAATTTTTTGTTCGGTTTATTTTGTTTTAAATTATTTTTGAGAAATCCTTGACTTTAAATATGAGTAGGATATGAATGAAAGTGATTACAGATGAAAACATTTTTTTTTTTTTTTTTTTTGGGGGGGGGGGGTTAAATTTAATATTTTCAAATATCTTATTTACATACAAATACTAAGTGCACACATAGTGAAGTCTTCATGATATCGCATTTTTTGTCTCCAATAATAGAGGTTATTAATTGAAAAACATAAGTTGTAAATTGCTTTTAAAAGTTTATAAATCACTTTTTTTTATATTAAATGGGAGATTTCGGGCGATAAATATTGATAAAGTCAATACTTATAAAGAAGAGGAAAAGAAAGCGAACATACCAATCTCCCCGATTTTTTTTTTTTTGTTTTTGTTTCCAGTAAAAGACTGTAACAGAGAAAAGTAATACGTTTCTTTACTCATATTAAGTGTTTAAAATTGTAAGTTTAAAATTTGATATAAAATTCCATTACAAGACACACAAAACACACGATGCTTTTTTTTCCAATTTTATACATTCAAAAATTTTACAGAGCAGGAAGGCATAAGTAGAAATCTCTATATATATTGTTATATTTTAATTGTATAATTTATATATATTTTTTATTTATATAATATATAACAGACAACAAAATAATAAATGAAAAATCAAAATAAGAACAAAGTTAAAATTTATATTTCATAACAATAACTGTCTCTCTCCGTTTACGTTTTTTTAATATTTTTAATTATTATTAATTATAATATACGATTTTACAAAAAAAAAATCCTTTTACCCAAAAGTATGTTAAAACAAGTTTTTCTCTTTCTAAAAAAAAAGTTAGTAAGGAGCAGCAAGTAAAAAATACTTGTTTTTACAAAAGATGCGTTCATTCCCCCGTGTTCATACAGTGAAAAAAAAAAAATATAAATATATAAAAGGAACAAAACTGGAATTTTAAATATTTTAAAAATTAGTACTAAACAGTTTTGTCTTTTATTTGACACATTTAAATATATGTACAAAAATTTGTATTAATATTCTCTGTTTTAACAATGTTTATTTTTATTATATATATAATATATAAATATTTACAAAAAAATATGATTAAAAACAAATATTTTTTTTTAAAATTTATAAACCACAAAAATCTACGTGCAAGCGATAAAAATGATGTAAAAACAACACTTGTTTCTTTTGATTTAAATATATTTATTTATTTAAAATTATTTTTTAACTTCATTTATTTTTAAGGCGAAAAAGTCGTATGACTAGAGCTCGGTTTTGGTCGGGAACAGGACTGTGGTGGTGAAATGGGGAAATGAACGCTAAAATTATCTAAGAGAAACAAATCCGTCAGATCTAGCCGAGATTTGAGTGCGAGAGGCAGGAATTAAGAAGTGGTCGAATATTGTTTGTCTTGCTCGGGCTCAGGCCTCCCAAACCGGTCTCAGCCTGCTGAACCGATAAGTTGACCTGCTCGGAGGCACTTCGAAAAATCAAATTGGACCCAACACTTTTTTTAATTTAAATTTTTTTAAAATTTCAATTTATCTAAATTCACCAGCTGTGAAGTCTGAATGTTCTCCAGTGAGAAAAAGTGTGAGTCCAAACAAATTTATTTTATTTCCGAGTAAAAAATTCCTTCCTCGTATAAAATATAATTTTTGATTAGATGGTATTTTAGTTGATTGATTCTTAAAAAGTATTATTTATAATTTCAGTAGAAAGTTTAAGCAAAGTCAAAGATGAAAGATTCAGTGAAGAAAAATGATAAATGACTTTCTTTCTTAAATACATAATTTTTTTGTAATTTTTATTTTTTATTATATATAATTTTTTTAAATTTTTTTTTAATGATGACCGCTGGCAGAGCACAACTCATATCCTTTAGGGCAAGGATTCTTATAAAGGAAGGGTTTTTTTAAAAGAGACCCGTCCATTTTCACACATTGGCATCATGAGATCCTGAAAGACAAGTTTTTAAGTCCCACTCAAAAAGTACTTTTAAAACTTAAAAAAAAAAAAAAAAAATACTTTTAGCTCATGCATTTGTTGGAGCCGGGTGTGGAGTGGTGTTGGGCTGCGTGGGTGTTACAGGCTGCTTTTCGCCTTCAGATACCGGTGTTGGTGGCGCGTCCTTTCGTGGAGGCATCCTCTCATTAATAGCATCCAAACCTTTTGCCTCGGCAAATGATGTGATCTTGTGGTTTGGAGAGAATCCTTGGAGAGCTGGAAAATAAATTGAAGTTAACAAACCGGTCGATTTAAATAAAACTGTAACAAATTTACCATTCTTCAAGGATGTCTTTCCACCAGAGAGGGCTCCAAGTGGCAACGATCCTGTTGGAGTTAGGCCCTTAAGCTGAAGTACACTCTCGCTCTCTTCTCTATTTAAACGACAACAATAACATTTATTATTCTTGAAAAAGTACATAACATAATTTTTTTGTAACCTATACAGATTTATATATATTACAAATGGTTTCTTTATTAATGGTTTACAATGTTTCTTTTCACATGGTCATAGCGCTAACACTAATGCCAGTGTTGCAGAAAGTCTCGAGGCCATCATCGATTAAGGTGACAGGTTCTCGGGTGGTAATGTGTAGAGAGCGCTCAACCAGTAGGGTTAGTTTGAATCGAGAGGTTTGTGGGAAACGTGTTTTGAATAGGGAATGGATCTTGACAAAAGGCATGATGAGGTCGTTGTGGATACTGAGGTTAATGGTATAGTATGGAGCTTTGACGATTTGTCTGACTGAGGACTTTTGACTGGAAGGATTGGATTGCTGGATGTTGGATGTCTCGGCAGAACCCCACAATTCCACTCCGCATATTACCAAGAGTCTTCGTAGTTGTCCTAATCGTCAGTTAAGTTGTTGTCTTTTAAGTCTTGTGTGGGGATTCCATGTCTGCTGTCTAGGTATAGTTCTAGGTGTTTGACTTGAGTGGAAGTTGGTATAACGTAAAGTGTTACAACTGTTATAATTACAATTGTATTATGGTGTCTCAGGTAGATTTGTCTGTTTAAATTAACTAAATATTACAAGAAGGCAGCTGCAACAACTAATTTATTAATTTATTTATTAACTATCTTCAGATGTGGGTTTGTTCATTCCATAAAATTATACATGGTTGACAAAATAAAACAGACCATTCTGTACTTTCGCTCTACCAAATTTATGAACACTCTGGATGATGGTATGGTCTTGAAGAAGAAAGCAAATTTAGTTGCTACTTGCCAAGCTTTCAACCTATTTTAAGGTCATTATCAAAGCAAAACAACCTTAAAATATATCTACAGAACATATTTAAGTTTGTTTAGCCCATCTGTGGACATTAAGATTGTTTTGTCCTGATGATGACCTTAAAATATGTCGAAAGCTTGGCAGTATCAACTAAATTTGCTTTCTTCTTCAAGACGATACCAAGATCTAGAGAGTTTGTAAGTGAAAAAGTGGTCAATACTTGGTCAATAAGTTGCCAGAGTGCAAAGTGCCATAGCAAACATGAGTTTGGCCAGAGAGAGATAAGATCATTTGCCAGGCTTTCCTATTTGGCTTGGGTCACTCTTTTATTGCCAAATTAATTACTTGTTTTAGAGGTTGAACTTTTCATCCTCATATTTAGCCTAACTATGAAAATACTTAAAAACAACATTTTCAGCCATTAAAAAACATAATACATAACATATTAATCTATTTATGTTTAGCGGTCTAATTGAACATGTTAATTATAATTAATTATTCTTTTATGTAAGGTCTTGGTTGAGATGAAAAAGTTAGTGTCACGAACGGAATTCGAACCCAGTGCCATTGAAAAAATGGCAAAAAGTGGGAAAATTTGGAAGTTTGTAGGTTGATATGGGAAGTTAGTGTCCGAGTGGATCGAAATCACGATAGCTCAAGAGGTTAGAGCAGTGGCATATTAGCCGAAGGTCGTGGGTTCGAATCCCGCTCGTGACACTAGCTTTTTCGTCTCAACTAAGACCTTACATAAAAAACATAATATTACATAGTCATTGGATTTTATTTATTTAGTGACTTTTAAAGTATATAAAAAAAAATTTATATAGAATAATTTGATACCTCAATACAGAGAATACTCTTGCCATCTTTCCAATTGCTCTTATCTTGTTACGTATAACTTCCTTACGCAAGTTTGCTGCTGTACCTAGAAATGAAACGAGTTCAAATTAAACTTGCTATTTCAACTAGGTAATGAAACCAAATTTAAACTATACATTCTAAATATTTACTACTAACTACACTGGTTTTTTTTACATGTGACATATAGAAGAGGCGATAGAAGGGGAAAAAAATATATACAGTTTTTTGTTTTTTATTGTTAGCCAAGCAAATGAATTGCCATTCGCATACCAAGAATAAAAAATCAAATATTTATTTTTCATTTGAAAATACATGCTCAAAATGAACTTTTTAAAATGGCAAAATTCAATGCATGCAGAAAAAAAAAAAAAGGATAGCAGATGAAACTCATTAAAAATGGGACTCAGGCTAAGTGAAATGGCTTAATTTTAAACTTAAATTTAGTATAAAACTGCTCTTTAAAAATGAATAAATTAAAATTTTTCAAGAACCGGTTGAGTAAGAAATTAACATTTAAAATAAACATTAAAACATAAAATGAAGCAGTTTTTCAGTCGTTATGGATAAATAATTTGTATATTCTCTTCATTGAACATGTCAAACAGAATACATCAACATAAATTACAAATTAAAATTAACAGTACGGTCAATTGTTGCACTCACCGAACAATTTCCAATATTTGAGTAGATTGATAGGTTGATCAGCCCATCAAGTGGTCCACGCAAATCAAAATGAAAAGAAAAACAAACACAAAAACTTTTTTTACAAAAAATTGAGGGAAATGTGCACAATAATGAAAACAAAAACCAAAACCAAAAAGAAAACAAAAACTAGAAGTTTCTGTTATTTTTTACAAGTACTATATAAACTATGAGATATAGAAGAAAATAGTTTTAAAATACCTCTATTTTTAAAACTAGGAAAATCAGTGATAGTTTTTTTAAAATTATAATTTTGACTGTCTAATATTTTTTTAAACAAATTTTTATATTTTGCAAAAATCTAAGCATCGAGAGAGATAAAAAAAAATCTGAACACTAATATTTTCAACAAGTGATAAGATGTACCCCCCCTGTCAAAAATATCGCAACATCTATAAAACCCGATATTTTTTATATTTTTGACCTTAACCCATGTTTTGAATTATTTCTTCCATAGGAGAAATTGGGCATTAATCATATCATTACTAATCACTCTTCACCAACAACAAAAGATCAGTGATCTTGGTTCATTTCGATATTTGCTTCAGTCTGTTTTACATTTTGTTAGCCCATGTAGCAATTTCTTTCTATTTTCTATTATGTCATAATGAGTTGTTTTAAAATTCTAATCACCTTGACATTCATTATTTGTCAGTTTCAAGGATGATTAAAAATTTTGTACAAGGAGCAAATTCTGGGAGTCCAGAATCACCTATCCCATATTGGTATTATAACCAAATTTACAGCTTTAGAAGAACGTGGGCAACGTTGGCCTGCAGCTTACAAATTTGCTTATTTACATGAAAGTCAGGGGAAAATTCGTGAAGCCAGACAAGTGCAGTAGGTGGCTAAGAGAGCATATTGTCCTTTAACGGGAAGTACACTTTGCTTCATCCTCGTGGCACCAATCCCGTAGACAACCAATGATAAAAATTTTATTTACATACTCAGGGCCAACTATTAGAAGAAAACTGAAAGTCAAAGATGGCATGTGAAAAACCTTTTGACTACAGAAAACCGTAGAGGATAATTCTGGGTTTAGATAGAACGTAGCTTAACCTCTTTTTTCTTATCTAAGTTGCCTGGTTGACTGCCATTGAAGGTATTTTTTTTCTTGGCTGGTGTCACACCAACTTGGGAGACCTTGTGGCTGGAAAATCACTAAAAATAATATGGAGGCACGATCACGTGAATGACTGATCTCAAGGCAAGAAAGGGGGTTAAGGGAATCCTTCACAGAACTAAGAAACATTTCTTTCAAGCAGCTTGGTATACTAATGGGGGTGTAATGGTGCACAAGTGGGATCTCATGATTAACTCCTGAGCATGCCACTCATCCTTTCTTTAACAATTTTGGGGGACCGCGGTAGCCGAGTGGTTAGCATGAGAGACTCTCACGCCGCGGTCGTGGGTTCGATTCCCACTGTCGCCTCTGGCCCTTTTTTCCCGATAACCCCCAATTTGAACACACAAGAATTCGTACTATGGCTAATATGCAAGATCATAAGGCCAATAATAATAATAATAATAATAATAATAATAATAAAAAAAAAAAAAAATTGAGGTGCTTGCTATCCTTAGCCTTCATGAACAGAAATGAAGCTTTTCAGTCGACGAATCTGCCCATTGAGCATACCAACCAACACTGCTGGGCCCTCGTAAATCATTATAGTACATAATTGGACCTGAAGTGCGAGCAAAGTTGGGTTTTTAATTGATCAGGAAAAAATGTAGAGATAATCCTTTTATAGACAATGTTTAAACATGATAAAGCTCAGCCCCGAACCAACATGTGTTTCTGAGAATCTAAAAACTACAGCTATCCCAAAACTTTGCATGGTCAGTAAGAACTTTAACCCAATTGAAAAGATTTGAGAAAATTTCAAAAGATAAGTTTTGCCATGATATCAACCCCCTACAACCCTTGAAATGCTAAAGGCTAAGATTATCTACTCAAATGTTTTAAGAGTATGCTAACAAGGATGTAAACACTCATAAAAACCATAGGGGAAATATTTCTTATATTATTTTGTACTTCTGAGCCTTTTTGCTTTGTATAAAATCAGATATTCTTTAAAATAAAAATTCAGGTTGTTGCGATTTTTGACGAGGAGTGTATATCTTTTGTAAAGAAAAAGATTACAGATACCATGCAATGTTTGCCAGGTTTTCTTGATTTTTCTCGTTTCATCACAGGTGCTATTGCAAATATAAGTATCCAAGAATAAAACGACAAAACTTAAGGAAATGTTTTATTGTTAATGAACACTTTATACGAATTAAAATCAAGCCCTGAGAAATTCACTATTTACCAGTTTAAAGGAAAATAAAAGTTGACAAAAGTATAAAACTTATTTTATTTCATTTCATTTGACTAAAACATAAAAAAAAAGATAAGTCAATAAAAATTTGTGGATCAACTGAAACAAGTGTAAATACTAGAAATTTGGCTAGCAATATAAACAGAAATGTGCGCACTGAAAAGTGTGAATAGAAGAACTAAACTCCATTGATATTTGTATGGTAATTTTTTTTAGGGTCAATCAGAAAAATTTGTTTCCTTATCCAACTTTTGGGAATGTATACTGTTGTAAAAATTTTCATAAATTATCTTTAGTTTTTCAGAGTAAATTAAATTGATTTAATGCTATTAAAATAAATTAAATAAAAGCTTCGACAGCCATTTTAGTCTTTTGCTGCTTCTACATTCCTAATGATTTTTTTGATGTACTGTGTACCATTTATTTTTAAATTAATAAATTTATTTAAAAATTACAACATTCTGCCTGACCTTCTTGTGTATCATTTACAACTTGCTCCAAATGTAAAAAAAAAAGTGCTTTTAAAAAGAAACGCCAGTCAACTATAAAGGATAATAGTGATTTTCCCAAGGCAAGAGATTCTGTATTAATATAAAATGCAGATTTTCTACACTTTATGACAATTGTCTGCACTTTATTTCATTTAAAAACAAAACAAGACAAAAAATCCTTTTTAGAGCAGGAAATAATGCAAAACGTGTAGAAATCTTTTTGTCTTGATTCATTATGTAAACGATAATCGAAATAAAACTAAATGGAAAAAGAAAGTCTGCAAGGCACATGCGATAATACTAGTGATTATCAAGCAAAATAGAAATCTTTGTGCTCGATTTTGTTTTTAAATCCTCAATAAACAAGAGAAAAAAAGATTACGAATGTTATAATCCTTATACTATACTTTATAAATAAATATAATTAAATTGCAGATTAAATACAAAGAGGAATGGATTTGTTAAATTTAAATTTTTGGTTACAGTGAAAAGTGGGTGAAGTTGATAATTGTGAAAATAAATTTAAGTATACAAAAAAATAACAAAATGGCCATTCTTGGCTAACCCTTGTGAACCTCCTTATCAGAAAAATATACATATGGAAAAAAAGGTCACCGAGACATTATCTCTGTACAAGAATACCGAGAAAAGTGTAGTATCCACCAATGATGTTGTAAGGAGTTAATTAAACTGGATTACTGGATTATAACATATTTGGATTGTTTCTTTTAGATAGAAAAGGATAAACTCTGTTTGAAGAAATAAAACATTTCCGGACTTTCTAGAATGAACTAAAATTTAGTTTTTTTCTTTTCTAAACTGTCAATTGCTTAAAATAATCTTTTGGCAGACATATCTTTAATAGGTTTGATTGTTATTCATATTGACCTTAAAGGATTAACATTTGTTGAGTACGGCCTGTTGTAGCTTTTTCTTAGCTCTGAATTGCCTCAAAAATAATCCCCTCAAATTTTTTCCAGATACTTTAAATTATCTACATATCAGGCCAAAAAGGGCCAACTTGAAGGAGGCCAGTTAGGCTACTGTAAGTTTTTGTGAACAAACTAAATTGTATTGATGGAATGTCCACTTTTTCCCTGTACTTCTTGAATTATTCTCCTAATAAACTGTTTGGGGCCTTGTTTTTGTTTGGATTTGGTAAAACATCTTTTTTTTTGAAGCTGAAAAGGCCAGCTTTGCTTCAATATACAAGAATTTTATCGATATATTCCATGAACTAAAATTTTGGGGGAAGAAGATGCTTTTTAGCCTCCAGTTAGCTATTAATTGCCAAAATATTTCCCCGCAGACCTGTTTTTGTATAGATTCATTAACTTTCATATAAGCTGAATGGGCAAAATCTGTCAGAAGGGGGGAAAAAAACTGACAAATTTTCGTGTATGAATCCGTAAAATGTCCATTTCTTCCTAATTATTTCAATTTATTAACCTAAATAATAATTTTCAAATCTCGTTTTTGTGTGGATTTGTGGAGAAACTTTTTTTAAAGAAGAAACTGCCAGGTTTTGTTTCAACAAGCTAGAAATTTAT